TTTGCAAGCTACTCTGACTCCCTAGGACACTGATGCAAGTCACTGTGACTCCCTAGGACCATAATGCAAGTCTCTGTGACTCCCTAAGACTTTGGTGCAGGTCACTATGACTCCCTAAGACCTTGGTGCAAGCCACTTTGACTTCCTAGGACCCTGATGCAAGTCACTATGACTCCATAGGACCCTAATGCAAGTCTCTGTGACTTCCTAAGACTTTGGTGCAGGTCACTATGACTCCCTAAGACCTTGGTGCAAGCCACTTTGACTTCCTAGGACCCTGATGCAAGTCACTATGACTCCCTAGGACCCTAATGCAAGTCACTGTGACTCCCTAGGACCTTTTTGCAAGCTACTCTGTCACTCTAGGACCCTGATGCAAGTCACTGTGACTCCCTAGGACCCTAATGCAAGTCTCTGTGACTCCCTAAGACTTTGGTGCAGGTCACTATGACTCCCTAAGACACCCTAAGACCTTGGTGCAAGCCACTTTGACTTCCTAGGATCCTGATGCAAGTCACTATGACTCCCTAGGACCCTAATGCAAGTCTCTTTGACTCCCTAAGACTTTGGTGCAGGTCACTATGACTCCCTAAGACCTTGGTGCAAGCCACTTTGACTTCCTAGGACCCTGATGCAAGTCACTATGACTCCCTATGACCCTAATGCAAGTCACTGTGACTCTCCACCCTGATGCAAGCTCTGGACCATGTCACTGACTCACTAGGACCTTGGTGCAAGCCAATGTGACTTCCGAAAGGACACTGGTGCAAATCACTGTGACTTCCTAGGAGCCTGGTTCAAGCCACTGTGACACCTTATAACCCCCCTATGACCCTGGTGCAAGTTACTGTGACTCCTTAAAGCCCTGGTGCAAGTTACTGTGACTCCTTAAGGCCCTGGTGCAAGTTACTGTGACTCCTTAAGGCCCTGGTGCAAGTTACTGTGACTCCTTAAGGCCCTGGTGCAAGTTACTGTGACTCCTTAAGGCCCTGGTGCAAGTTACTGTGACTCTCTGGGTCCCTGGTGCAAGCCACTTTAACTTCCTGCCCTATAATTGAGTAAACAATGTTTCACTACTACAGAATTAGCACAAATATAATGAACAAAACTTTATTTGTTGTATTTTCTGGATCATGCATTTTTAATGTTTTATTTCTATTGCAGATTAGCAGTAAATGTGTGCGAGCCAAAATCAATATAGGAATGTTTTGTCAAACTATTATTGATCCCCCAGTTGCTAAAGGTGAAGAAGTGCCAAGGGAGAATGTTTGGTGTAAAATAACATACACAGCCCATGGTGAGTGGTGACAGTGACTGAAGTTCGGTCGTTATTGAATGCAGGGAATAAAAAACCTGCACTCCATTTGTAATAACATCCTAAATACTTGGTATGTGTCTGAAACGAGATTTCTATCTATATACCTATGAGAAAAGGTTACTTCCTGTACGAAAGAAAACATAGTCGCTACTGTCGTTATTGCTTTTGCTATTGATTTACTTTTGTGGTTGTATCATAAATACTTAATTTTAGCAAAAATTGCATGTTTATATGATTTGAATAATTAATATCTGATCTCAATTTTACTTGACTATTTGATGGCTAAAGTTCTCATGATATATATGCTTTATTTACAGTGAATCCTGGTGGATGGGCTCCAGCATCTGTGCTACGTGCAATGTATAAGCGTGAATACCCACGCTTCCTCAGAAAATTTTCATCTTATGTCGGAAAGCGTGTGGAAGATAATGAAGTGATGTGGTAGAGTCCAAGTAATGACAACAATTAGCTGATATTTATTGAAGAAAATTTCTTCTTATTCACCTAGTATGTTTGTAGTAGAGATCCCTTATGACAGAGTAGTGCTGTGTTAATGTGTGTGACTTGAGAACCCTAGACTCACTATACAGAGAGCGAGAATTATCCCTCGTAACTAGAGAATGTTTGTAAGAGTCCACTGTTCAATGATATCTCACTGTGTATGTATTACAGCAATTTAAACATTCTGAGATTAGTCATGAAATCTTTTTTGTACAACCAATTAAAGAGCCGTTAGAGCTGCAACTTTGAATGTTTTGGACTTCCAAAGTAATATGTTATTTACAGTAACTATTTTAATTTATTATGAAAAAAACATTTTGCACAGAATCTCTATATGTTCGAATAATAATATGCAGGTATATCTGTATTCTGAGGGAAGTTAAAAGTCACTGTGACTTTCTGTCTTAAGTACTCCTGTCTTGAGTACCCAGCTGTAGTGCCCACTTCTTATTTTTTTTTTTGAAATATGTCTCACTAAATGTTTGCTGTTTATAATACTGTCCTGCCAAAAGGTGACTGAATCAACTGCCAAACAATAAATGATATTATGATTTGTACAAATTATTAATAAAGATACTTCTAATGTCCCTTTATGATGACATTTTCTGTGGATGATGTAATTACTTCTATAGCACATTGAAATCAACAACCATGCTGCTATGGAAATAGAACATTGTAATCAATAAGTTCATCATCATGAGCTTGGTCACACCTCATTTGTTATTGTATCTTCTGTTTAGCATTGTCTGTGATGAAATGAGTTCTTCTTAGCTAGTCACATGGGATTGATTGTCTTTATCCTGTTATGAATTTGAAACAACAAATTTTTTATTAGTTCCCGTTCGAAGTCCGAAAACGGGGACTTATAATTCGGTCTCCGTCCGTCCGTCCGTGCGTGCGTATGCGCGTCCGTCCGGAGTCATATCTCAGAATCCCTTGGGTCGATTCTGTTCATTCTTTGCATGTGCCTAGTACTTTATGTGGGACATATGCACATGCAGTGGTTTAGCGATTCGATTCAAAATGACCGACTGGCAGCCATCTTGTTTTTTGAAAATGTTGTATTTTGGACATGCTTTGTCAGTTTTCATTCAAACTTGGTACATAGATTATACATGTTAGGATACATGTCCATGACGATTTATTTCACAATTGGATCAAAGATGGCCAACTGGCAGACATCTTGTTTTTTGAAAATGTTGTATCTTGGACATGCTTTGTCAGTTTTTATTCAAATTTAGTACATAGATCATACATGTTAGGATACATGTCCCTGACCGTTCGTGAGTTCGTGAGTCTGTCTGTCTGTCTGTCCGTCCGTCCGTGCGTCAGTCTGTCCAGAGTCATATTTCAGAATCCTGTGGACGAATTCCGTTCATTCTTTGCATGTGCCTAGTATCTTATGTGGGACATATGCACATGCAGTGGTTTAGAGATTTGATTCAAAATGGCCGACTGGCAGCCATCTTGTTTTTTGTAAAATGTTGTATTTTGGACATGCTTTGTCAGTTGTCATTCAAACTTGGTACATAGATTATTCATGTTAGGATACATGTCCATAACGATTTATTTCGCAATTGGATCGAAGATTTTATGCGGTATCTTGTCAGTTTTCATTCAAATTTGGCACATACATGTACTTTATACATGTTAGAATGCATGTCCATGACAATTTGTTTCAAAATCTAGTCAAGGATGGCCTTACTACTATATTTCCACAATTTATGTACCATTTTCATTCGAATTTGGTACATACATCATATACATATCAGTGTGTTTCATAATCAGATCAAAGATGGCCGAATAATGGCTGTTTTTATTTTTGGCCATATTACTATTACACGGAACAGTGTTTTGATGTAAATAAACAATCTGTTGTATACGCCACTTGGAACTCAAGTTTCAAGGACATGCTCGCGACAACCCCTGCGCTTTAATATGACGAGCACAAAGAGAACTTTCAAACATTTAACGGGAACTGTGTCATTTTCAATGACTTGTTGAGTGAGTTTTCAATGGAAAATATTTTACGATTATAAAAGTGGAAGCTTGTTATTACAATGTGATTTATCTCCCATGATGCATTGCCATATGGCGCAACTGGTTGGGCAAAATTACTGGCGCCTCTGACACAACAGAAAACCATACTTTGATCTCGTGATCTTGAAAAACCTCTTACTATACTTTTTGTAATTCGTTAAAATGAAATTAATTGAAAGTGTGCATCTTTTGAGCACATTACTGTTTATATACACAATATATCAAATTTTATAAACAAAATGAAGGAAATCTGCCACTTTTATGTTTCAAGTTACCTATATAGTCCAATTTTATTTTATCTCAAAGACCTACATGTACCTCCGCAGC